CAACCAAAAGACAAAGGGTGAATGGATACAAAAACAAGACCCGTATATTTGCTGTCTACAAGAGACCCACTTCAGATCTAGGGACACATACAGACTGAAAGAGAGGGGATGGAAGAAGGTATTCCATGCAAATGGAAATCAAAAGAAAGCTGGAGTAGCAATACTCGTATCAGACAAAAAGACTTTAAAATAAAGACTGTTACAAGAGACAAAGAAGGACACTACATAATGATGAAGGGATCAATCCAAGAAGAAATAACAATTACAAGTATATATGCACCCAACATAGGAGCACCTCAATATATAAGGCAAATGCTAACGGTCATAAAAGGAGAAATCAACAGTAACACAATAATAGTGGAGGACTCTAACACCCCACTTTTATCAATGAACAGATCATCCAGACAGAAAATCAGTAAGGAAACACAGGACTTAAAAGACACACTAGAGGAGATGGACGTAAGTGATATTTATCGAACATTCCATCCAAAAGCAGCAGAATACACATTCTTCTCAATTGCACATGGAACATTCTCCAGGACTGATCACATGCTGGGCCACAAAGTGAGCCTTGGTAAATTTAAAAGAACTGAAATCATATCAAGCATCTTTTCCGACCACAACGCTATGATATTAGAAATTACCTACAAGAAAAAAACTTTAAAAAACACAAACATGTGGTGGCTAAACAATATGCTACTAAACAACCAATGGATCTCACTGAAGATATCAAAGAGGAAATCAAAAAATACCTGGAGACAAATGAAAATGAAAGCATTATGATCCAAAACCGTGGGACACAGCAAAAGCAGTTCTAAGACGGAAGTTTATAGCAATACAGTCTTACCCCAGGAAACAAGAAAAATCCCAAATAAACAACCTAACCTTACACCTAAAGCAACTAGAGAAAGAAGAGCAAACAAAACCCAAAGTTGGAAGAAGGAAAGAAATCATAAAGATCAGAGCAGAAATGAATGAAATAGAGATGAAGAAAATGATAAAAAAAAAGATCAATGAAACTAAAAGCTGGTTCATTGAAAAGATAAACAAAATTGATACACCTTTAGCCAGTCTCATCAAGAAAACAAGAGAGGGCTCAAATCAGTAAGATTAGAAATGAAAAAGAATTTGCGAAAGACACCACAGAAATACAAAATTTCATGTGAGACTATACTACAAACAACTGTATGCCAATAAAATGGGCAACCTTGGAAGAAATGGACAAACTCTCAGAAAGGTACAATCTCTCAAGACTGAACCAGGAAGAATTAGAAACTATGAACTGACCAGGAAGAATCAGAAACTATGAACTGACCAGTCACAAGTACTGAAATTGAAACTGTGATTAAAAAACTAGAACAAACAAAAGTCCAGGACTAGATGGCTTCATAGGAAAATTCTATCAAACATTTAGAAAAGAGTTAACACCTATCCTTCTTGAACTATTCCAAAAAAAATGCAGAGGAACAAACACTCCCAAACTCATTCTATGAGGCCACCATCACCCTGATACCAAAACCAAAGATACCACAAAAAAAGAAAATTACAGGTCAACAACACTGATGAACACAGATGCGAAAATGTGCAACAAAACACTAACAAACCAAATCCAACAATACATTAAGAGGATCATACACCACGTTCAAGTGGGACTTATCCCAGAGGATGCAAGAATTTTTCAATATCTGCAAATCAATCAGTGTAATACACCACATCAACAAACTGAAGATTAAAACCATATGATCGGGCTTCCCTGGTGGCGCAGTGGTTGAGAGTCCGCCTGCCGATGCAGAGGACACGGGTTCATGCCCCGGTCCGGGAAGATCCCACATGCCGCGGAGCGGCTGGGCCCGTGAGCCATGGCCGCTGAGCCTGCGCGTCCGGAGCCTGTGCTCTGCAACGGGAGAGGCCACAACAGTGAGAGGCCCGCGTACCGCAAAAAAAACATATGATCATCTCAACAGATGAAGAAAAAGCTCTTGACAAAATTCAACACCATTTATGATAAAAACTCTCCAGGAAGTCAGTATAGAAGGAACTAACCTCAACACAATAAAGACCACATATGACAAATGTACAGCTAACATCAAACTCTACGGTGAAAAGCTGAAAGCATTTCCTCTAAGATCAGGAAGAACACAACAATGTCCATTCTCGCCACTTTTATTCAACATAGTTTTGGAAGTCCTAGCCATGGCAATCAGAGAAGAAAAAGAAATAAATCAGTCCAAATTGGAAAAGAAGTAGTAAGACTGTCACTGTTTGTAGACAACATGATACTATACATAGAAAGTCCTAAAGATGCTACCAGAAAACTACTAGAGCTCATCAATGAATTCGGTAAAGTTGCAGGATACAAAATTAATGCACAGAAATCTGTTACATTTCTATACACTAACAATGAAAGATCAGAAAGAGAAGTAGAAGAAACAATCCCATTTACTGTCACATCAAGAAGAATAAAATACCGAGGAATAAACCTACCTAAGGAGACAAAAGACCTGTACTCTGAAAACCGTAAGACACTGATGAAAGAAATTAAAGACACAAACATATAGAAGGATATACCATGTTCTTGGGTTGGATGAGTCAATAGTGTCAAAATGACTATACTACTCAAGGCAATCTACAGATTCAATGTAATCCCTATCAAATTATCAATGGCATTTTCCACAGAACTGGAACAAATTTTTTTTTAATTTGTATGGAGACACAAAAGACCCCAAATAGCCAAAGCAATCCTGAGAAAGAAAAACAGAGATGGAGGAAACAGGCTCCCTGACTTCATATTATACTACAAAGCTACAGTCATCAAAACAGTATGGTACTGGCACAAAAAGAGATATATACATCAATGGAACAGGATGGAAAGCCCAGAAATAAACCCACACATCTATGGTCAACTAATCTATGACAAAGGAGAAAAGACTACACAAGAAGAAAGTCAGTCTCTTCAATAAATGGGGCTGGGAAAACTGTACAGCTACCTGTAATAGAATGACACTAGAACATTCTCATACACCAGACACAAAAATAAACTCAAAATGAATGAAAGACCTAAAAAGACCCGATACTATAAAACTCTTAGTGGAAAACATAGGAAGGACACTCTTTGACATAAAATACAGCAAGATCTTTTTCAATCCATCTGCTAGAGTAATGGAAATAAAAATAAACTAATGGGACCTATTTAAACTCAAAAACTTTTTCACAGCAGGGGAAACCATAAACAAAAAGACACCCCACAGAATGGGAGAAAATATTTGCAAACAATGCGACCGACAAGGGATTAATCTCCAAAATTTACAAACAGCTCGTGCAGCTCAATATCAATAAGACAAACAACCCAATCAAAAAATGAGCAAAAGACCTAAATGTTTTTCCAAAGAAGACATACAGAAGGCCAAGAGGCACATGAAAAGATGCTCAACATTGCTAATTATTAGAGAAATGCAAATCAGAACTACAATGAGATATCACGTCACACCGATCAGAATGGCCATCATCAAAAAGTCTACAAACAGTAAATGATGGAGAGGGTGTGGAGAAAATGGAAGCCTCCTACACTGTTAGCGGGAATGTAAATTGGTAGAGCCACTATGGAAAACAGTATGGAGCGTCCTTAGAAAACTAAAAACAGAACTACCATTATGATCCAGCAGTCCCACTCCTGGGCATATCTGGATAAAACTATGGTTCAAAAGCATACATGCACCCCAATGTTCATTGCAGCACTGTTTATGATAGGCAAGACATGGAAGCAACCTAATGTCCATTGACCAATTAATGGATAAAGATGTGGTACATACATACAATGGAATATTACTCTGCCATTAAAAAGAATGAAATAATGCCATTTGCAACAACTTGGATAGACCTGGAGATTATCATACTAGGTGAAGTAAGTCAGACAGAGAAAGACATATATCATATGATATTGCTTGTATGCGGAATCTTAAAAAAAAAAAAAAGATACAAATGCACTTATCCAGAAACACACTCACAAACTTATGGTTACCAAAGGGGAAGGAGTGGGGGGGAGAGGATAAACTGGGAGTTTGGGATTGACATATACATACATTATATTTAAAAGAGATAACCAACAAGGACCTACTGTATAGCACAGGGAACTCTGCTCAATATTCTGTAATAACCTAAATGGGAAAAGAATTTGAAAAAGAATAGATACATGTATATTAAATAAATAAATAAGACCAAAAAAAAAAAAAGGAAGAAGAAGCATGAGAAGTACAAAATAAAATAGAATAGGGCTTCCCTGGTGGTGCAGTGGTTAAGAATCCTCCTGCCAAGGCAGGGGACACGGGTTCAAGCCCTGGTCTGGCAAGATCCCACAGGCTGCAGAGCAACTAAGCCCGTGTGCCACAACTACTGAGCCTGCATTCTAGAGCCTGTGAACCACAACTACTGAGCCTGCGTGCCACAACTACTGAAGCCCATGTGCCTAAGGCTCGTGCTCCGCAACAAGAGAAGCCACCACAATGAGAAGCCCACACACCATGATGAAGAGTAGCTCCCGCTTGCCACAACCAGAGAAAACCTGCATGCAGCAACAAAGACCCAATGCAGCCAAAAATAAAATAAATAAATAGAAATAAATAAATACAATAAACGGAAATGCAATATAAAATTAACAATGTAAAAACTCTTCAGTCGGCATCTTTAGATTTTTGCATTTTACTAAAGTATACCCCAGTGAAGGAAAATAAAATTCATTAGGAATATGGAAGAAACTCAATTTTGGAATATAGCCCTTAAATACATATTTTATTTCAAGGACATGAATTACTTCATTTCTCTCTTTCATTTAAAGGGGGAAATACAAAAACTAATGTGCTTCTTATGTAACACGAATATGTTTCTTCTAATATTTGACTAAATCTGACTCTAACAAAATACAAATCAATAGGCTAGGCCACTTTGGTATGGTCACTTTGGTACGGTCTCTTTGGTATGGTCTCTTTCTCTGCTGTTTAACTTACCACAGGTAGCGTGAGCCAGGTTGCCACAAGGCGGTTGTTGATCCAGCGATACCAAGATGGGTTTATAAACATCAAAGGTAAAAAGGGACCCAGCATGAAAATGCTTCCAAAAAAGCTTCCCCAAAACAGAGTGAGTATAAAGTATATCCCTCTCCATGACACCATGATTCTGAAAGACACAAAAACCGATATATTTTGTTACTGTAACTGTTCAATTTCAGAATGATACATGTAATAATCTTTAATTATAGGGCTACAGAATAGGCCCTTGATAAAGAATATGAGCTTGAATGCCCTCTTACATGACCTACAGGTCTAACAAGTCAGAACATTAGAAATGGATACTCTCCCCCAAAAACAGATATATTTATCAATGGAACAGGATACAGAGCCCAGAAATAAACCCACACACCTATGGCCAATTAATCTTCGACAGGAAATCCCTGATGGTCCAGTGGCTAGGACTCTGTGCTTCCACTGCAGGGGGCACAGATTGGATCCCTGGCTGGGGAACTAAGGTTCTGCATGCCAGGTGGCGCAGCCAAAAAAAAAAAAAAAAAAAACTTTGACAATGCAAGCAAAAATATACAATGGAGAAAAAAACAATCTCTTCAGCAAGTGGTGCTGGGAAAGCTGGACAGCCACACGTTAATCAATGAAGTTAGAACATACCCTCACACCATACACAAATATAAACTCAAAATGGATTAAATACAGGACATGACACCATAAAACTCCTAGAAGAGAACACAGGCAAAACATTCCCTGACTTAGCAATGTTTCCTTAGGTCAGTCTCCCAAGGCAACAGAAATAAAAGCAAAAATAAACAAATGGGAACTAATCAAACCTATAAGCTTTTACATTGCAAAGGAAACCACAAACAAACGAAAAGACAACCTACAAATGGGAGAAAATATCTGCCAACAATCTGACTGACAAGGCCTTAATTACCAAAATATACAAACAGCTCATACAATTCAATAACAAAAAAACAACCCAATCAAAAAATGGGCAGAAAACCTAAATACTTCTCCAAAGAAGACATACAGATTCTCAATAGGCACATGAAAAGATGCTCAACATCACTAATTATTAGAGAAATACAAATCAAAACTACAATGAGGTACCTCACACTGGTCAGAATGGCCACTGAAACAAATGCTGGAGAGGGTGTGGAGAAAAGAGAACCTTCCTACACTGTTGGTGGGAATGTAAATTGGTGCAGCCATCATGGAAAACAGTATGGAGGTTCCTTCAAAAACTAAAAATAGAGCTACCATATGATCCAGCAATCCCACTCCTGGGCATTTATCCAGAGAAAACCAAAATCCGAAAAGATATGTGCACCTCAGTGTTCACAGTAGTACTATTTACAACAGTCAAGACACAGAAGCAACCTAAATGTCCACTGACAGATGAACAGACAAAGAAGATGAGTTATATATACAAAATGGAGTACTACTCAGCCATAAAAAGTAATGAAATAGTGCCATTTACAGCAACATGGATGGACCTAGAGATGATCATATTAAGTGAAGTGAATCAGAAAGACAAATACCATATGCTACCACTTATACATGGAATCTAAAATATGACACAAATGAGCTTATTTATGAAACAGAAACAGACTCAGTCATAGAAAACAAACTTATGTTTACCAAAGGGGAAAGGGGGTGGGGGAGGGAAGCGGTAGGAGTTTGGGATTAGCAGTACAACAACAAGGTAAACAACGTCTTGCTGTATAGCACAGGGAATTAAATTCAATATTCTGTAATAAACCATAATGGAAAAGAATATGAAAAAGAATACATATATGTATAACTGAATCACTCTGCTGTATAGCAGAAACTAACACAACATTATAAATCAACTCTTCCCTTTTTTTTAAATTGAAATAAAGAAAAAAAAGAGATACTCTCAACTGACTTCCCCCAAAAAAGAAAAAAGCTGTTTAAAAAGCCTTGCTTTTTGTTCTGCTTATTAGTATTAACATAAAACCGTATATTTTCTTTTCCAAGACGTTATCCAACGCAAAATTTTAAAATATTCCAGAGTTCGTTTTTTTTTTTTTATCTCTTACATGACCTACAGGTCTAACAAGTAGATTTAGTGGACTAAGAACTGCAGAACAGCTTCCTAAGGGTGACTGTGCCTGAAAGTGATGGCAATTTTACAGAGTGCACTAAGAAAGAATTTGTTAAATCTAGAAATATTAATTCTTTACATTAGAACCTAAAAGTAATACCTTTGGGCATTTGGTCTTTATGAGCTGAAAGGTTAAGTAGAAGTCAGACTCCTCACTCACTTTCTTAATTATTTGCCAATGGATTACTTTTGAGGGTCCTCATAACCAGACGAACAAAATACTGATGCTTTAAAAATAAACTGCTGGAAGCACAGTCTAAAATGAATAATCAAACATTTGATTTTACAACCTAAACTCTATTAGAGCAAAAACATGGTTTGCTTCAGGATAATAAAACCGTGGGAAACATTAAAACCATGAAAACAATAATGGCCTTAAAATTTATATATTAAAAAAAGGTATTTCAGGGCTTCCCTGGTGGCGCAGTGGTTAGGAGTCCACCTGCCAACGCGGGGGACACAGGTTCGAGCCCTGGTCCAGGAAGATCCCACATGCCACGGAGCAACTAAGCCCATGCACCACTACTACTGAGCCTGCGTGCCACAACTACTGAAGCCAGTGCACCTAGAGCCCATGCTCCACAACAAGAGAAGCCACCACAATGAGAAGCCCGCACACTGCAACAAAGAGGAGACCCCGCTTGCCGCAACTAGAGAAAGCCCGCGCGCAGCAATGAAGACCCCGCGCAGCCAAAAATAAAATAAGTAAAATAAATTTTTTTTAAAAAGGTATTTCAGCAATTAAGACCTCTGAATATTTGAAAAGAATCACAACAGGAAAAAGAAATAAAATTTCAAATGTCATGGTGCTTTAAAAAATGTCAGTCAGACAAACAAAACAAGTCAAGTCTCTTACGCCGAATCAAGTTTTTCTGCATATTTGGTATATTTTTAAATCTCTACCAATACTTGACAGTGTTATACACAAAATCCTTCAAAGTACAAACAGAACAAGTATCTGCCAAGAACTGGCTTTCTGCTAAACTCTAGATCGGAACTTCTAAGAAGCGGGTTGAGGGAGTGAGGGTGCAGAAAAAGCACACTGGAAAACAGTAGCCAAACAATTTGCTCACACAGGGCCCAGGATGGTCTGTAGTGCTACACAGCCTTGGCTTTGCTTTCTCTGAGGCTCAGCTCCTCCTCTTTGCATTAAAAGACACTATAGGCCACTTCTCTCCAGTCTAAAGTAATAATTTAAAAAGAGCTGCTAAATTTAGTATTCTCAACCCCTATTTCCTTTCATAACCCCTGCCCCCAAAATATCCCTGCAATGCTACTACTCGATTTGAAAACCCCCCTGTAACTACCTTTTTTAAAATCTACTGTTCGTTTCTGTCATTAGCTAGCTCTCTGTTTAGATACTCACCCCTCAACTCCCTGAAGGGCTATACTTCACATTACATCCATATACGACTACTTCCCCATCAAAGGCTCTGACATGCTTCTTCCTCACTTACTGAACTACTTCTCATTCGATGTCATTAAAAGGAAAAAAATTATAGTTAAAGGAGCTTAGGTATCATCTAACAGAATCTTTTCAATTTACAGTGATGAAGCTAAGGACCAGAAGAGTTAAGAGATGTGTCACGTGAATATACTGGGATTACTCAAACCAAGTCTCATCTAAAATTACTTTTCCATCCTACTCCTGTTTCTTCCCTAACCTCTCAATCATGTGTACAGTGATTCAATAAACATGCAAAGATATTCCTACTGTGTGTCAGGCCCAGTGCCAGTTATTTGGGGATACAACAGTGAACATGACAGACATACCAAGCTCTTACAAACCTAACAGTCTCTCCAGCCCTTTCTTATGAACTCTGCATTTAATCTAGCCCTGTTCTCTCTCTTCTTCCAAGTCTCAAGGATTTGATAGAAAACTTGGTTAAGAATTATGCTACTACACGCTTATTTAGAATAAATAAAATTTAAAAAAACCAAAAACTGGCTAAACCAAGTGCTGGTAAGGATGCAGAGCAACCAGAACTCACACACGTTGCTGGTGGGAATGCAAAATGGTATGGCCACTTTGGAAAACAGCTTTACAGTTTCTTAAAATATTAAATGTACATTTATGATATAACCCAGCAATCCCACTACTGAATATCCAGGAAAAATTGAAAACTTACGTTGACACACAAACCTGCACACAATTGTTTTCAGCAGGATTATTCATAATTGCAAAAAACTAGAAACAACCCAAATGTCAGTCACGGGTGAGGGGATAAGCACACTCTAATATATCCATAGAAAAGAATACTACTCAGCAGTGAAAAAACATATGACTGATACATGCAACCTCTGGGGTTAACGTCAAATGCATTATGCTGAGTGAAGGAAGCCCGGCTCAAAAGGCATGATTTCTTTTTAACTGTATGTTTTCATTTATATGACATTCTGGAAAAGGCAAAACCATACGGAGGGAACAGATCAGTGGTTGTCAAAAGGTTAGGGGTAGGGGGAGTGTTTGACTGTGAAGGGGCAGCACAAGGGAAGTTTTAGGGGTTGAGGAAACTGTTCTATTTCCCAATTGCAGTGACGGTTACAAGACTATGCATTTGTTGAAGCTCACAAAACGTATATTTACTGATTTTTACTGTATGCAGATTAAGAACTAAATTAAAAAGATTATGCTATGTGAGATGAAATCTGATAGAATATTCATTAAGCTCTTATGATCTGGGGAATTCTACACGTCTGGATTATTTCAATTATAATGACATCTAAACTATGTCAAGCTTTTAGAATACGCCAGGCACTGTTTCATATACTTTAAATGTGTGAACCTGTTTAATACAATAATCCCATGGTGTAGATATTTTCATTACCCCACACTTTATATATAAGGATACTGAGGCACAAAGTGGTTAAGTAATATGCTCAAGATTATACAGCTAGTAAATGGCAGAGCTGGGATTTGAATCCAGGTAATTTGGTGTCAGAGTCCATGCTCAGTCTAGAATTCAACATTATGTTCTTTTTCAAGCACGTACTTCTTTTGTAATTAAACACACACACTTTAA